TTTTTAGAGGTTTTTGCTATAGAGTGCGTGCACTCGACAGAGAGACAGAAAGCAAGAAATCACCCCCCGGGGAGGATGGCCATGCCACAATCCCTTTTCCTCCATTCTCCTCTCAGGATCTTAGGCACTCATGCACATGCACCCGGCATGAGTTTAAGCCACCCAGTCCAGGACTCGAACCACAGTCAACAACATGGGAGTCCAGTGACATAGCCATTATGCTAAGTGCTGGTCCCATAGAGTTCTGTCTTTTTATGTAGTTCCTCCTTCATGTCATGGAATAATTTTCTCACCTCTTGGAACTGATGGTTTGTCTTCTCTTGTATCTCTGTTTTGTTATGATCAATATTCTGAATTCCCTTTATGACATTTCTGTGGTTTTTGTATTTTATCTATTGTTGGTGAGGAGTTATATTGTTCTTTTTGGGAAGATATGTTTCTTTGTTTCTTTTTTCTATTTCTTGTGTCTCTGCATTGATGTTTTTGACAGCCAATGGAGTACTCACTTCTTAACTTTTGGAGTAGGTTCTGTAATGCTGGAGGCAGAATAGCCTAGGTCCTATGGCATTCAACTGGCTGCAGCCACTTAAATAAATTGCCATATGGCCTCCTTCATGGACAAGTTAGACAGAGGTTTGAGAGAAAAACCTGCCCTGATTCCAACTCTCCTACACAAGAAGCAGCAGAGAGAACATGAGATCCTCCTACCCTTGGGCACTGACCCTGACATAATAAACTCCATGAATCCCAGACTCTGACCTACCAATCGAGTCATCCCTTTTTTTCTCACAGGTGGGAGCTTATTTTTCTTAACCCATTATTTAACCAAGACTCTAATTATTCTTCTCCAGACAAGAGATTAGAGCAGTGTTTCAAGAGATCTCTCCCACTGAGGAGAAACTACCTTCTCAGCACTTGCCAAAGCTCTTTGACCTTGTTCTCAATGATGCTGAGATGGAGGGTTTCACCTTTTGTATTCTAAAATAGCAGAGTATACTAATGTGGCAATATATTAATGTACAAAAAGCACTCTATGACATCTAAATCCCCGCAAATGTTTATTACCGATAAGTCATGCGCATTATTTCTTCACCCTTTCACTTTGTTGAGAGCGTGACACTGTTGAAGTCATAGCTTATTGTTTACTAAATTAGATCATTTCATTACTAGATCATTTCTGTGCTCTCTGGAGCGCAGTAATTTATACCTTTGCCCAGTGGAACTCACTGTCCAGCATGAGAACCAGTATCGAATACCTGTTCAGTACCTGGGGAACTGAAGTTTTACATTTTCATTTATTTATATTTAATTTTACACAGCCCAGCTAGATGCTCTCAGATTCGACAATAGAAGTATCATCTCAGACATCCTTTTCCCTAATAATAGTGTGTGGTTAGACCTTGTGAGGTAAAGAAAGGAGTTCCCATACCAGTGCTGTTATTTTTATATGATAAAATTCATGAAATGGATGGGCCATGAGGATATTTTTTAAAGAAGCTATCGTCTATCTGTGAGCCTTCGAAAGCATAAATGCAGATAGACAAAGATCTGCACAGCTTTCTGCATGTGTTGGGGAGAGGGGAACAGTGAAGCCACAGCAGGTATACAAAGACCCAGAGGATCTGTTAGAGCTGCAAGGAAGGATCTCAACTCTGCACTTGACGCTCACTGAATGCCATGAAAGCAGCAAGGGAAAGGGGGAGGTTTTTGTTTCGGCTATGGGAAGTAAGGAGTGAAAATAAGAAATCTTCAAAGCCACAGATGGAAACATTTACTTTATGCAGATAGCAGTTGAGTAAAGGGAATGAAGCCTTTACTGCTCTCAGTAGTGCTTTTCAAAGTGTACTTGTAAGTTTCTACAGCCTCACACCATCTTCCCTATAGTCTTTGAAGTAGAGAGACAGAAAATCCTATTACTCTCACTTCTCAGTAAGGCTGTACCTTTCCTTATTTTTCAATACATGTTGTTCAGATATGTATTGATGAAAGCCAAACAGCTTATGGAAAAAAGACTTACAAAATATCTGCCTTCATAGGATAAAGTATAATAAGAACAGGTTGTTTTGTAAAAAGAACTATTTATTTCAATTTTATTTATTCACTCATTTATTTTAATTTGATCAGAGAGAGAAAGAAAGGTGAAATCAAGCCACCAGGTCCAGGACTCAAACCATCATCAGCCATATGGGAGTGTCCAGCACCTTAACCACCATGCCACCTGCTGGCACCAAGAGTAGGGTTTTTTGGATTCTTTCTTTTTTTCCCCTCTCTCTTCCTTTTTCTTAAGAAATGTAAATGTTTAAGACCAACAGATAGCATAATGATTACATCACTGGACTCTCACATGGCCAATCATGATTCAAGTCCCGGGCCTGGTGGCTTGAAACATGCTAAGTATATGTGCATGCATGCCCAAAATCCCGAGAAGAGAGTGGAAGAGAAGGGATTGTGGCATGGTCATCCCCTTGCGGGGCAGGGGAAGGGAGACTGATTTCTTGCTTTCTGTCTCTATGTCTCTCTCTGTGTCTCCAGAGAGCACACACGCCTTAGAGCAAAAATCCCTCTCAAAACAAAAGAAAGAAAGAAATGTAACTATTCAACTTCAGATTAGTTCCCTTCTCATATTGAAGTGTGCATTAGCGTCCTACACTGTGATTTAATTGTCTCAAATACTGTGGTGACATTATCGCCACTGCCTTCACACTTTTTTGTTTTGAAATCCTTTGACTATTTCAGTATAATGAAAGCCTGGGCTTTAGAGCCTCCAACAGTTAATATTTCATTATCTCTGGACCCGTGACATCAGCAAATCCACATAAACAAAACAACAGTATGTTCATTTTCAACCCATCATTGAATCATAATTAGAAAAATCTTTTTACATGCAACCTAAGAATCATTTTATATCCCAATGGGAAACATGCTGCAAAGAGAAAAGTTGAAAGTCACATGAGCTTGACATTGTAAGAACAAGCCACAGGTGATGTTCTCACAGGTGAATTAATGCTGCTTTGTCCCTTTGTTTTGAGATCATAGATCTGTACTGGGGAGTTGAAGAAGATGAATGGGACAGCCCAGAGCTCCAGAAGACCCGCATGAAGCTGCTGGAGGATTGCTTGAAAACTTCTGCAGGTCCATGTTTTGTTGTGGGTATAAAAAAACTAATGCTTTATATTAAACTGTAGATGAATGTGAGAATTCTTGCTGATTTGTAACTCTTAAAATGGGCTTTTAAAATGGGAGGAAAATACGGGGCCAACCCATGGCCTGCTGGTTAACGGAGCAGAATCCCATATGGCTGACCATGTGGTTCTAGTCCTGGACCCAATGACTTGAAAAACACACCAGGCATATTTACATGCATGCCCCAAATCCTGGCAGGATTGAGAAATGAAGGAAAAGGGATTGTGGCATGACCGTGCCCCATGGAGAGGAGAAGTGCTTTCTCCTTCTCTTTCCTTCTGGCAAGAACATAAACTCTCTGAAAACATAATAATAATAATTGGGAAAAAGACTTTTTAAAATATCTATTTAATAGTTTAAAACTGTCTCCTTCCCCTCAAAGTGAGAGAACAAAACCTTTTTCAGCTTTCCATAGAAAGCACTACAAATTAACGGTGAATAATTTGAAATTGTAATCGAAGGGATGACTTAGGTTCAACAATTTTTACACCTCGTGATCAGCAGCAAGGATGACTGTTTCATTCTTAGAAAAATTGTCCTAGTTTTTCTTACCTTGTAATATTGGGTTGTTAGAAAAGTCATGATGCATTTTTGCATAGAAAAAATATAGAAAAATACATCCTGACTTTGCTGACAACCCAATATAATGTATTCCATGATAGTGTTTTTATTTCTCAATATCCGAATTTCTGGAATGTTTTTTAACACACTGGCTGAAACACTGTTAAAGTAAATAAAAAATATGATGTCAATCATATCTGCCCATAGGAAATGGTGCCCTGTGAAAAAGTTCGTTTCTGTAATGATTTTCAGTGAGATGTGCATGATAAGCTACAAATCCACGGAGACTACTCAAGTGAAATATCATTATTGCTTTATTGTGATTTTCTTTTATTCTGATGAAGACATTTTATTTAAAAACATTCTTCATTACAGGAAACTGTAACAAATTGTAGGCTGCTGTTTTCAGCCTCTCTTGCTTGCTCTGAAAGAAAAGAATATGATTTTTTGGTAGTTTTTAAAGAACAGCCACTCCTTTGTGGAAGCACAGTGGTAGTACCGTATGGCAGGGGAGTTGCAAAAGCTCCGCCTTAATTTAACTAAAGAAAGAGGCTTATCTTGGCTCTCAATAAATCCTACTCATTGATAGGAAGAAACTTAACAAGGAATTCTCTGAAACTGATGGATGAGTATTACAATTACTAGTGAATACTATGAGAAAATATGTTATAATATCATTAAAAGTTAGGCTTGAGCTAGCCAGGTGGTGTGGAAGTGAAAGCAGCTAGATCCTCTAAGGTCTACTGCACGACTTGTTGAGTCCTAGACCCAACAGCTTGAAAAACATACTAGGCACATGTGTGTGCATGCCCAAAATCCCAAGGGAGAATGGAGCTGAAGGGATTATGTCATGGCCAATCCCCTCAAGGAGTGCTTTCTCACTTTCTCTCTCCATCTCTCTCTCTAGCAAGGGCATGTATACTATAGCCAAAAAAAAGGGGGGGGTCTCAAAATATTAACAAAATAATTTTTAGTATTATTTGCAGGTCCAGTTATATTAATCTCCACATAGGATTAAGAAGACCTATAGAGATTATATCAGTAATCTGACTAAGTGATGATAAAGTTGTTACCAAGGATAACAAAGTATAGAAAGGGTGCTATAATATATTATTTTTAGTATTTCTTATGTGGATAAATTATTCATTTATTTACCAACAATTCACTGAGTGCCATAGGCTACTCTTAGTGCTAGAATTCTAGTGGGTTGGCCATATAAAATTGCCATTTGGTGGGTCCACTTTTTATAGTTCAACTTTAGACTTGAAGGAGAAGATAAAATGCCTGGCCACTTTGGAGCTTGCACTCTTCCATAGAGGATTGCTTGAAAACTTCTTCAGGTACATGCTTCGTTGTGAGTATAAAATAACTAACACTGTATATTAAATTGAGGATGAATGTGGAAATTCTTACTAGTTTGTAGCTCTGAAAATGGGCTTTTAAAATAAGGAAAAAGACTTTCTTGGGCCAGCCGATGGCCTGGTGGTTTAGGCAATTGGATCCCACATGGCTGACTACATGGTTTAAGTCCTAGATCCCACAGCTTGAAAATCATGCTGGGCACATGTGCATGCATGCCAGATCTCAAAGGGAGGGAGACGCAGAGAAGTAGAGATGCAGCATGACCACACCCCATGGGTTTGCCTCTTCCCTCTCCCTCAATCTCTCTGGATAATGCACACACTTTCTGGGAAATTAAATAAATAAATAAATACAAATGAAAGACCTTTTTTGAATACCTATATAATATTTCAGAAATGTTTCCTTGCCTTCAATGTGAGAGAGCGAAAACCCCTTCAACTTTCCATAGAAAGCTAAAAGGAAAGGAAGATGGAGAGGGCAAACAAAAATCAAAGAAACAGTAAGTCAGATGGTGTTAAGTGCTATGGAGAAAATACAGAATGAGGAAAAGGAGAGGGAATACCAGCAAAGGAAAGAGTCATATTTTTTAAGAATTTTTTGCCTTAGGATGCATGTGTGGCACAGGAAGAGCTGTTCTTCCTTCCCTCCTTTGTAAGATGAGTTCATTCGCAGGATCCAAAGCAATTACAGGGCACTTGTATAGTATCTCTCAGATAGTAACCCACAGTGCTTGTTGTTTATCATGGTTACCATCATTATTCTTCTCTATCAAGACTGTCTAAAGATGACATCTCAAATCATAACAAGGGCATCACCAACAAAGTTGTCATCGGAGAAAAGAACACCATCCATCTTGGCGGGAATGCTGTAGAAGAGATTGAAATATTAGAGGACAAGTTAGGCAGAGTCCATCCTATGTAGAAGGCCAGCTTTGGGAAGCATAACCCATGAGGGTTAATGCCCTACAGGGTCTGCTGAGACTGTGGAGATCTGCTGTGATCTCCCTACCTCTGTCTTAATCCAGCCTCAGACATTCAGTAATGAAGGAGACTGTCTCCTGCTTTTTGTTTGTTTGTTTGTTTTGTTTTGTTTTGTTAATTAATTAATTTATTTTTATATACATTCGATGACATTGTTTAGCTTATGAAGTGAACATTTGGGTACCAGTCAATTCAGCTGGACAAAGAAAACCTCTCCTGCTTTTATGACCCTATCCAGTGCCTGAACTAACTGAGGTTCCTCATAGTTGTTCATTCCAACAATGGGGTAGGAAAAGAAAAATGAAAAGACTTTGCCAATTTGTGCAGGTCCTGAGAGTCAAAGTTAACTGGGAATACATCAACACCAACTCGCTGACCATAAACAAATCGTCTGTCCCTTCCACTCCTCTGTTAAATGTTTACATTCAAGACCACTATGATGAACCCTGAAGGCAGAGCTAGGATTACTCACCCTGGTGATCCTAAATCACCCCAGGCTTCTGTCATTGTTTATAGAAATAATACTCTGTGTCTCTGATGGCCTTTTCTGTTGTAACTATGGCAACAGTGAGCACGTATGTGTCACTTTGGAGCTCCAGTTTCCTTGCCCAGGGCTCCCTTGTGATATTTCTAGAAGTCATGATGACCCCTGTGGGATGCAAACCTTAGCATATTACTTCTCTTCATGCTAAAGTCTTTGGCAAGAAAATTCACCATTGCTAAATGAAAAAAAAAATGTTTTGCAATCTTTAAAGTCTATATGAATATTAGTCTTTATGTTTGATAAAAAAAAAAATTTCAGGACCAAACAAAGCTTCCATTTTAAATACCCGGGGAGATGAGACCCAAAGAGAATTTGAATTTAAATATTATATATACTTGGATCTTTTCAACATCCTTATCTTAAGAGTTGTCATTTGGGGGGCCAGCAGGTGGTGTAGTAATTAAGGCACTGAACACCCACAGGATCGACCAAGGTTCAAGTCCCAGACCAAGCAGCTTGAAACTCACACCAGGCGCATGTGCATGCATGCCCGAAATCCCAAGAGGAGAATGGAAGAGAAGGGATTGCAGCATGGCTGTCTCCACTGGGGCCTGACTTCTTGCTTTTTCTCCTCCCTCTCTCTCTCTCTCTCTCATTCTCTCTCTCTCTCTCTCTCTCTCTCTCTCTCTCTCAAGTGCTCATGCCCTATAGCAAAATTCTCTTACAAAAAAAAAAAGTTGTTATTTTGAATAAGACCCTAAGGTCCCTTTGACACACTAATCCTGGACAGCTTCTGTACACACATGCTTTGGACCACAGAGAGGACAGGGTGCTAGAGTAAGGGTGCCTGGACATATGTCTGGTTCCACTCTGAGAGGATTACCTTGGGAGACATTGCAAAGAATCCATCATCTCTCCAGAGGAGGAACGGTGTTTGTATCCATGTGTACAGGGAGACAAACACACACAGAAAAGCTCAAGATGTTCACTTCAGCACCTCGGATAGAGTCCTAGTCTCCCAAGGCAAGTCACTAATCATGGGTCTCATCCATACATAAGGGGAAATCATGACAAAGTAAAAGAAACTTTTGAGTCAACTCCAAAGGTTCATTGTAGGGACCCTGTGTGATGACCTATGTATGCATTCTTTGTAAACTGTAACTAGCTATGCAGCCGTTAGTTCTTATTAAAGTGTGATTCGAGTCCTTTTCACATGATAATAGTTTTTCTTCTTACCGGATATTTATGAAACATATATTAAAAAATTTTTCCCTTTAAAAATGTCAGTAATAGGGACCAGCAGTTGGCATAATGGCTATGTCGCTGGACTCTCACGTAGTCGACCACGATTCGAGTCTTGGACCCGGTGACTTAAACTCATCTGGACATTTGTGCATGTGTGCCCAAGATCTAGAAAAGAGAATGGAGGAGAAGGGATTGTGGTGTGGCCATCCGCCCTGGAGGTGATTTCTCGCTTTCTGTCTCTCTTTCTCTGTCTTTCTGGCAAACACACACGCCCTATAGCAAAAACCTTTCAAACAAACAAACAAAAATGTCAAAGATAGTTTAAATATTA